TTTGAATACTTGTAAGTAACCAATAAGCTTTTAACACATGAAGGGGTAGAAATAACAAAATCTTTTTTTTTTTTTCCTTTTTAGTCTCAGACTTTTCCAGTGCTTGTAGAATTTTAGTGTGAAGATTTTTATTCCTTAAAGGTGACTTCCTGATATTGACGGGTAGTGAGGAAGCTCTGTACATGCTCCTCACAGCCAGTCATTGCTACCCGTGGTGACCCTTGTCATTTACGAGCTACTTTATTTTCCACTCTAGTGATGGTCACTCTCATAGGTCACTGTCTTAGAGATAGTTTGAGATGCACTTATGTTTGCTCTTCATAGTACTTTGACTAAACATCCTGATTATCCATGTTATGTAAAGCAACATGAAAACAAAGTGCTGGGTTGGGGCAATGGTTTCAATGGGTGGTTTCTTAGGCACATGGCAGATCTTTTGCAAATAACAATTTTTATATCATAGGCCATGCTCTGGTTATCTAGTTCAGACAATAATGATCACAGCTAAATTAACAATGTGGGAAAAATGTGAATACCACTAAATTAAGGTGATGGTAGTTTAAAGATTCTGATACTTGAGTTCCTTTTTTTTCTTTTTCCCCTTGAGATTTGAAAGTCCAATGCCAGAAAAAATTTCTTTATTTTGATACTTTATACTTAAAAATTTCTAAGATGGAGACAGGTTTAAGAATTTCTTTAGGGCTGGGGATTTAGCTCATTGGTTATGCCACGTGCCTCACAAGTGCAAAGTCCCAAGTTTGAGCCTCAGTACCAAAGGAAAAAAAAAAAAGGAATTTCTTTAAACAGTTTAATCCCAATGAAAGAAGGCAGGGCTGGGGATTTAGCTCAGTGGTTCTGCCGCCTGTCTTGCAAGCACAAGGACCCGAGTTCAGTCCCTGGTACAAAAAACAAACAAACAAACAAACAAAAAACACCAAAAATTTAAATTATGAAATATTCTTACATGAACCAGAAAAATACAACTAATGTTTTTGATATTTACTTAGTCCTTTTCTTCAGGGTATTTAAACAGTAGGAGAAATTAAAGATGGGATCACAGATTGGTTCAGGAATAGCATGTTCATGGGGCAGTTGACAGAATTTTTTTTTTTGTGGTTGAAAATGAAAATAATATTTCATTACTGGGACTAGAAATAATATCCTTGTTAGAGAAAACTGAAAATGGCTAATATCCTTCATCATTCTGTGAGAATTAAAAAGCAAAATAATTTCTCAGAGCTATGAATTGGTAGTCTTTTGGGGGGGGTACCAGGGATTGAACTCTGGACCTTGCGCTTGTGAGGCTGGCGATGGCACCACTCAGCTAAATCTCCAGCCCTTCAGTTGGTACTTTTAAAATAAAAGCTTAGTCGCTTTATAAATCGTGGTGTTTCTGAGACCTGAACCTACAGCAGCCATTTTAGTAAATTTGTGTGCTCTGGATTAATACCAGTGCTTGTGTCCTCAGTTTGCTACTTCATAGGTGGGTTTTCTAGTTTAACTCTTCCTTTGGGCCTTGTGCTCCTATTGGTTGCTTTCATTTTTTCCAGAACAAAATCCCTGGCCTTACAGTCTCCTGTAGTAACTAGGTTGAATTTTCTTAAAGCATTACACACAAGTTGTAATTATAGAAGAAATCATGGTTTGGACTGCCGTTTCTGTACAGCAGTGTGTATGACAAGTACCCGTAGCTGTCCATTACAGATGCTTTGTAGAATTCCGTCCTTATGACAGGAGGTGGAGATTCAGCATGAATAAGTTAGTCGTTACCAGTTGACATTTCAGCTTTCTTTGCACATGGTAATAGTTAAAACTTTGCTTCTACCTTTTTTCCTTCATTGGTAATTTAGATTATTAGAGGAGTATGTGAGAACTATTTATTGTAGTTCCTGGTTACTGGATTCATCAGGGAAATGTATAGGAATTGTAATGAAACAATTACAGAGGATAGTAAGTTTTTTATTTTGTTTTTCTGAGGCAGTATTTCTGTGTAGTCAGGCCATCTTTAACTTATTGTATAGTAGCACAGGCTGGCCTTGAACTCAAGATATTCCTACCTCAGCCTCCTGAGTGTTGAGATTAAGGCATTCCACCAAGTCTGGTTTAGATTTTTTTTTCCCCCTTCAGGTACTGGGAATCAAACTCAGTACCTTGTGCTTGCCAGGCAGGTGTAGTGCCACTGAGCTAAATCCTCAGCCCCTGGTTTAGATATTTTAAAGTTGGGTAGGAGAATAACAGGAAGCTGCCTAGGGGAGGTGATATTTTAGCTGGGCTTGTAGGACTTAATAGCCCCCTTTGACAGGCAAGATCCTGCATGTATTCATCCTTCTTGTCTGGAAAGACATGACTGGGAAAGTTATAGATGTGTGACATATTTTGGTGGCTCAGTTTGGAATGCAGGTGCCAATGCTGGTGGGATTAAAGTTTTTGATGTCTTAATTAAGGAGATGAAGCTGTTTGTCAGTGTGGAAAACACCTCCTTCTCTGTCTCCCTCTCATCTTGGTACAGTACTGGGGATTGAACCCAGGATCCCAGGCATCAGGCATGCTGTACCACTAAACTACCTTCCCAGCTCTTTTTATATTTTGAGACAGCATTATGCTAAGTAGCCCCATCTGGCTTTAAACTTGCCATGCTGTTGTGTAGCTGGTGTTAAGGTGTGCGCCTCCATGCCTGGCTGAGCCTCTGAACATTTAGAATTTGAACTTGGTAGTGGATATGTGGCTAAGAGATGGGAGCACTGAGAGTGTGATGTACCCATCTGGCTTGGAGGATTAGGTATTAGGTAGGTGGTGATGCCACTAACAAAGATGAGGTTTGGAGTGGAAGTGTTATGGTGGGAAGATGATTCAAGTTTGGACAATATTGAAATTGACTTGATTATTTTGTGCTATTGAGTGTATTTTGAAATTGAAGTTAGCATTGGTGTTAAGCTTTGCTATAAGTGATCCTATATTCTTTTCTTTGGTGTGTTCTGGTTGTTGTCTGCTTTGTTGCTTTTTTTATTCTGGTTGTTAACAACTTCTTGTCTTCATCTGTTGGCTGAATTCTATATACCTTGAATTCTCATTTAAGAATATACTTAAGTCATCTGATTGTAGGAAAAGAAGTTAGATCTTCAGTTGTCTTGGCTGCTATCAAGAAATCACACAATAACAAATGTTGGCAGGGTTGTGGGGAGAAAGGAACCCTTCTCCATTGTTGGTGCAGACTGGTGCAACCACTATGGAAATCAATACGGAGATACCTCAAAGATCTGGGACTAGAGGTTACATTTGACCCAGCCATAGCTCTGCTGGGTATCTTTCCAAAAGAATTAAAAGAATTATATCACGGGCTGGGGATTTAGCTCAGTGGTTTGGTGGTAAAAAAAAAAAAATCATATCACCGTGATATATGTGCATCAATGTTTAGCTAAAACTTGGAAACAGCCCATTTGCCTATCATTTGGAAACTGGATAAAGAAGATATGGTTTTTCTATAAAATGGAATACTACTCAGCCATAAAGAATGAGATATTAGATTCATTCATAGAAAATGTATACATTTTGAGGATATACTTCTAAATGAAATAAATAAGTCACACATGTGTAAATACCGAATAGTTTCTCTGGTGTGAATAAACTGTAATAGTACACAAGATCCTAATGGGATAATTAACAATGTGAAATAGGAAGAAAAGGGCTGAAGGTGGAGAGAAAGTGGGAAGGGTAGGGGAAAGGGAATAAGGGAAAAGAAAAAAATGTGAGAAAATGAAAAAATGGAAATAAAGTGTTTGTAAGTGGGGAGGGAAGGGGAGGGGGTGAAGGGAGGGCAGGAACAAGGGGAAGAAATGAGAACCAAGACCTGTCATGTAAAGGTACAAGATCTCAGTAATGAATGTAACTGTACTGTTTATACCAATAAACCCAATAAAAAGAAAAGAAATTTAATGATGGAATATCATAGAACACAAGTGCCTTGTGTTGGTTTAGACTCGATCCAGATAATTGTTTTATTGTTGCCAGGAAATATTTTATTATTGGTCCCCCAGAATTTTTCCTTTTGTCTTCTGTTGAATTATTTTTCTTTTATTGTGATCAATTGATATGTGGGTAGGTCTAAATATGACATGCTGACTTCTTTGAGTTGTCTAGAATTTTCTCAGTTTTCTTCTGGTGACATAACCACATTGCTATTAGCAGTCTAGCACATTTGGCTTTGAAAATATACAAGACCTTGGACACATTCTTAGAAAAATTTTATAGATTAATGCCACATAGGAAATACATCTTAGAGAAGATTAGTCTTTCATATAATTCTTGCACTTTTATAATTTTCCATCTTTGGCAATATTTCCTAAAAGAAGTAAATTATTCTTGGTAAGTTTTGTATTGAAACTAATATTAATATTGTATAAACAAGTTTATGAATGTTTGCCTCAGTTTCTTTTTCTTTTTTCATTTCAATAGGTATAGCAGGGAACATTTAAATGTTGTCAACATGTAGAAATTTTCTTCTTTTATAAATGTTCTGAGCCCAAATTACAATATATAAATTCTTCTTGTGTTTTTAGTGAGAGTTATTGACTTCAGAATTTCAAATTCTTTCTGATTACCCTTGCTGTTTTATGTATGTAATATAGGGGGTAAAACCCCCCGGCATTTTCAAAAGTCATTTTGGAAAGAGTTTGTAAGATTGAAGACATTTGTAATGAGCATGCTGTGCAGTTTGTATTTGGATTTTTTAGCAGTTGCTCAGTGAGTGACTATTGGGATAATCTATAGCAACATCTGTTTTTGTGCTCCAGTGGTGTACTCAGGGGGGTGTTTTATTAGATGACACATTATCTTTTATTAGAGGGAAGCTGTGAAGTTCTCTTAAAACTTTAACATTGCTGAAAAAAATGTTAAATTATAAAGTAACAATTGGAGGAATAAAGGAAGTCACTGAGAGAAAAGGTTTATATAGAAATGTAGAGTATTATTGCTGCGTTTTGTACATTTAACTTTATCTTTCTTCTAGTCCAAGTGGGAAGAAGTTCAGAAGCAAACCTCAGTTGGCAAGGTACCTGGGAAATACTGTTGACCTTAGCAGTTTTGACTTCAGAACTGGAAAGATGATGCCTAGTAAATTACAGAAGAACAAACAGAGACTGCGGAATGATCCTCTAAATCAAAATAAGGTTGGTTAATTTACTTATAACACATATATGCTAATTCAAAAGCTCTCCAAAAACTATCTCATGTTGTAAATATGTTACTGAAAATTTGGTTGTACAAATGTACCCACCCCCTGCAAAATTTTTTCACTTCTGAATTTTTTCTCATGTTTGTCAGTACTTACCCAGAGAGAACATAAGTAATTTGTGCACTTTAGAAAACATTTCACTATCTCCAGGCCAACGTATATCATACTTTTTGACCCGTTGGATCATTTCACAGATATTTATTGCTATTAATTGTTTACTTTAAAAAATAGCTTTGTTGCCTAAAAAGAGTAAAAAAAAAATTTTTTTTTTTTTTTTGTACTGAGGATTGAACTCAGGATCTTGAAAGGCATGGTGCCACTGACTTACATCCCTGGCTCAAGGCATATTTTCTTTGGGTGGGGGGCGAGTACTAGGGATTGAACTCAGGACCTTGCCCTTTTCAGGCAGGCAGCAGAACCACTGAGCTAAATCCCTGGCCCAAGGCAAAATTTTAATGTAGCAAGAATCCTTACCCATAGTAAACTTACCTGTAGTAATATGCAGGCTCAGAAGTTGAGCAAGAGCAGTTTTTATTTTGATTTTTGATAATGTTGAAGGTACTGACTCTAGGGTATGATATTCTTATCCTACTGTGATTGGAGATTTTTTTCAGTGTCATCCTCCCCTCATGGAGGTATATCTCCAGTTCTTTTTTTTTTTTTTTTTTTTTTTTTTTTTTTTTTTTGGTACCTGGGATCGAACTTGGATCCTTATGCTTGTGAGGCAGGTGGCAGAACCACTGAGCTAAATCCCTGGCCCTCCAGTTCTTTTTAAAAACATTTTTTTCCCCCAGCCTTGGGGATTGAACTCAGAACCTTGTGCTTGCAAGGCAGGCAACAACACCACTGAACTAGGTCCCTTTTTTAAATATTGAGATACCGTAATGCTTAGTTGCTAAGTTTCCCAGTCTAGGCTCCTGCCTTAGCCTCCTTAGCACTCGGATTACAGGCATGTGCTATCATGCCTAGCTTCTATTAGCGTCTGTTATTGGGCTGTTGGGTTGGTAATTTATCATGTATCAATTTAAACAATTCTCATTTCAATTATGATACATTAATTGTATTAAAATACCCAGTATCTTTACAAAGCACACTTTTCCTCTAAGGACAGATAAGCTTCTGTAACCCACAAATGACTCATTGATTTGCCACAGTCCTTCCAAAATTGCTAAGGAGATTATTTCCATCTGTATGGAGGTAGGAGTTCAGGTTAAAGTCTTCCGTACAGTTACATAAGTCAACTGTTTTAATCAATTTAAAACATTTTTAAATTTTAGAGATCTGCATGTATATGTTGCCACAACTATTGTCTCTCACTAATGGTGTGAAGATAAAGGATGGGAAACTAGAGACTTATTTTTTCCTTGGGATGTGACTAGATACATATAACTTGGCATGCTTTCTAAGTGCTGTATTCATTTTAGGAACCTAAAGGCAGTTTAGTACAATACAAAGGGCTTAGGACTGGCAGGCACGGAGTGGTGATCTGGCTCTGCTGCTTATTAGCTGATGTTGTTAGTTATAGGAATTTTCTTAAGTACTGAGAGCCTCAGGTTTTTATTCGAAAAATTAAGGTAATAAATTTTTTCCTTAGTATTAGAGTAAATAGGAATTTATAGCTAGCAAAGTATTTGATCATATTAGTTCTGTTCCTTTCCCTTTTGCTCCTTCCTTAAGCTGCCATGTATCTGAGTACTGGTAAACAACTCCTCCTCAACCTTTTACTTTTTCTGAAGGGTGTGGGGCAATGATGACAGAACCTTTTAGAGTTTTCAGTGATAATAAACAGCACACTGCAGCATATGTGCCATAAGTTCATCATTACTGATGTAGACTCCCTGGGTCATACTTGCTTTTATTCACCTTAATAGTTTGTATTACAAAATTAATTTCTTGGGGCATTCTCATGTACCTTGTTTGGAAAGGACGAAGGGAAGGGAAGGCTAAATTGCCTCTCTGTTGTTTAGTTGTGAGATTAGTTTGAGGTAATAGTTATAAAGATTTTAAGAAAGGTAAGAGTGGAGGGGTCTCAAGTTAGCAAAAGTTAGGACCTAGGACTACGTACATGTGTAGGTAATTTCGTCTTATGGGAATCTTTATGCTAGGGTTGTTTTGATTAAGTGTGCAGAGGAAAATTAAGATCTATCTCTAAAACTACCTTTTAAAAGTTATCTGTAGTGGTCAGGTACCTATAGAAGGGGCATAGATATTTATGAAATGAATTCTTTCAAATTTCCGTATTGTTGCTAGAACCACAGTTTTGTTAAAATTATTTAGTATAATGTGAGATTTATCAGTTACAGTTTATTAAAAACCAAAAACTAATTCGTCTCTTTAGTTTGTGTGCATCTTTCTGCTCTAGCTGCGCTGGACCACTCATCATCCTGCACCATGGCATGCACTTTCAAGATTCTGCTTGCTCATATGCTGTTTCCTCTGCTTGGAATGCGCTTCCCCCTTCCCTTCCATCTGATGAACTCCTCCTCCTCCACGGCCCAGCTCATTGTCTTCATGTCTGGAAATCCCTGCATTCTCCAGCCAGAACCAGTCCCCTCTTGCTTCCTTGGTGCTTTGCCATTGTATTTGTGACTATCTGCTTTAGCTAGACTGTGAGCTCCGTGAGAGCAGGGACCATTTTTTTGTTTTGTTTTGTTTTGTTGTTGAAAATGTAGTACAAAGCCTAGCTGCACGGTAGGTACTTAATAAATGTTGCTTGTTGTTTATTTTATTTCATATCAGCCTCATTCCATAAGTTCATAGTGATAATAAATGTCTATTAAATAAATTAATACATAATACATTCTTTTGGAAATGGCTTTCATTTTCATTTTTTTCTCTGAAACTAAATTTTTTGGGGTATGGTCTTATTCTATCTGACTTTATTTTAGTTAAGTAGTCAGAGTGGAGTTTTGCGTATTTTAAAATAAGCTCTTCTGAAGTAACACCAACCTTAAAATCTCTATGAAGCAGAAACTATATTTATGGCATGATTAAGTCTTTTTATGATAGTACAGTATTAAAAGAAACCGAAACATTTAAAGTGATCACTAGAAATCAGAGAAAGTGTTTTCTAATGTAGTTGTCAGCCTGGCCAACACATTAACTGTGGTGTTTTTGAGCCTCCCCTCACCATCATCCTCTTCTCTTAAAAGAATTAAGAGTTGTGGTCAACAAAATAAATTTTGAAGTAAGCTAAATTGTAGTTTATGTTGACTGATTATAAGCTATGATGTTAATGTCTTCCATCTCAAAGTTGAGTTTATTGGTGATTATTTTAAGATGTGATTGGAA